AATGCAGTGCGTTGGGGAAAGTTCGAACATGCTTTCTCAACGACCCAAATTCCAATGTTCACCTTTGGTGTTATTTGCGCTTTGTAAAATGTTGAAATAAGCTAACGAACATGTTAAAATCCCTGAAATTTTCAGAACTCTTTGCACAATCCTACTTTCCTTATATCTTGTCTAAAGCAGGCTTATTGTTTCTATTTTTATTCTTTACTTTTTTCTCACTCCGCTAAAGATAATATATTCATGTGAAGTATAAACCATTAATTATTAACTATTCCTAGACTTTCATATCCCCTGCCGCAACCTGCTCTTCAATTCCGCATTCATTGCTTCCACGAAGTATTCTGAAGAGACCTGCAAATATACCGCTTCAGTTAGAATAATTCAGTAATGGCGAGACGAGAAGCATTTCAAAATGGCTCACCTTTTTCTCCCCAGTCCGTGTTATAAGAATTAGCAACGAGCCAATATGGAAGATTTTTGACTTTGTCTACACCCCATCCAATTATCTTAACAACATGGAATCCCCTTTGACGACCACCAACATGCTAAATCCAAAAAACTTGTGACATCTGTTCTTGTTTATTTTGTTTGATGGTTAAATTTTCTGATGGCATCGTCTACTAATTTACCATTGATGATATCCGAATTAAAAGTGTTAATTAGTAATAGCAACAAGAATTTGTATCCTAGTTTGCTACAATTTACTGCACTGCACAGTAGTTCCCATAGACAGATATGTGTTAGCTAAGGAGCACGCTTATCGGCCGGTTGGCATTGACGAAATATCAAACAATAGCGTTCCACGTAAACGACCCTCTAGGGAATTTTCCTTGCTTCGCTCGTTTTTAGAAGTTTGCATAATTAGGAATCGCCTGCACATGCCATGTATCTCAAAACTAAAGGTTTTAGTATGAGCAAATACCATGTAGACGCCGTCCGTATATGCTATGAAGTCCTCGAAAACTCTAAACCAGGCTTGAACAGGTCCCTTCTGCATTATTTCTCTTTGAATTTTCTGCTCTCCTTTAACCCAATATGTCTCCGACACTAAAAAACATATTTTGTGGAGTTCTAGAAGGATAAGCGAAAGAAAATGGAAATCTTTACCGTAAACCTTGTCATCTGCGTAAGTTTTATTATATCCAGGTTGGCATTGCTCAACGCAAGTTGGTGTTTCTT